AAGCAAAGATAAAAATAGACCATATTAGGAGTAAAATAGACACTACTAGAATTGTACAGGTAACCGGCAAAAGTAAACCTGGAATAGACGATATTAGGGTAGAAAAAAAAAAATAAAATTAAAAAGAAAGAATAAGATAAATAAATAAATAAAATTAAATGAATAAAAATAAAATTCCCCCACATTAGGATTGTACAGGTAACCGCGGAGAAGGAGGCTAAAATCGACCTTATGAGGGCTGCACAGGTAACCACAATGCCGTCGCTATTACCTGCAGTTCGGGATGGAACAAAAGGTTACTAGGGCAGCGTTCTCCGGCGTCAGCTGATCGAGATTTTGCCTCTTTGCAAAATTGATAAGAGGGGCTGCCTGCGTGTCTTCTCCTGAGGTGGTCAGTGCTGGGAATGGGTGGGTCAGTTAGGAGATGACGGGGGTTTTGTTTGTTGTTATTGTTTCGTTTCTCGTCTTCGTCTTTATCGTTATCGGCATCTTCATCTTCACCATCTTTATCATCAGCTTCTCTTCTTCTTCTTTCTTCTTCTTATTCATCTCATCTTCATCTTCATCTCATCATCATCTTCACCATCTCATCTTCATCACCACACCACGCCCACTCCCCTCCCCACCCCACCCCCATCCTAATATTCATTCATCGTCAATATCATCACCATCACTCCTCTCCTCCCTCCAACCTACCTCCTCGTCCTTCCATCCACGTTCACTCCCCACCTCCTCACTCACCCCCCTCCTCCTACCCTCTCTGGCCTCCTGTCCCCTCCTCCCCCTCCTCCTCCTCCTCCTCCTCCCCCTCCTCCTCCTCTCCTCCTCTCCTCCCACCCTCCTCTCCTCCTCCTTCCTCCTCCCCTCCTCCTCCTTCCTCCTCCTCCACCTCCTCCTCCTCCTCCTCCTCCTCCTCCTCCTCCTCCTCCTCCTCCCCACCTCCTCCTCCTCCTCTTTCCTCCCCCTACCTCCCTCCTCCTCCTCCTCCTCCTCCTTCCTCCTCCTCCCTCCTCCTCCCCTCCTCCTCCACCTCCTCCTCCGCCTCCTCCCTCCTCCTCCACCTCCCTCTCTCCTCCCCCTCCTCCTCTTCCCTCCCTCCACCTCCTCCTCCTCCTCCTCCTCCCCTCCACCTCCTCCTCCACTCTCCTCCTCCTCCTCCTCCTCCTCCACCCTCTCTCCCCCTACCCCTCCTCCTCCTCCTCCTCCTCCTCCTCACCTCCTCCACCTCCTCCTCACCTCCCACCCCTCCCACCTCCTCTCCTCTCCTCCTCCTCCTCCTCCTACCTCCTCCTCCTCCATCCATCACCGTCCCCTTCTCCACTCCTCCCCTCCACCGTCCACCTCCACCACCAACGGTCTCACGTCTCCACCGACCCCCACTGTGAGAAGCATCGCCATGACAGGACCAGATGTTAATTAATAATATCAATTAATGATGATTTGTCATTAATTACGGATTTTTCCATTCCCCCGCCACATTCGGCTCCAGTTCGATCGTTACTATCGACCTCTTCCATCTCCAGCCTCCCCCCACCCTCTCAATCTCCCCCTTCTCCCTACCCCCATCCCCCACCCTCTCCACTTCCCCCCTTCCTGCCCCCGCCTCCCTCCCCCACTTCCCATCCCCCTTCCCAGCCTCCGCCCTACCCTTCTACCCTCCCACTTCCCACCTTCCCCCCCCTTTCCAGCCTCCCCCCCCCCCCCCCCTCCCCCACCCTCCCCACCTCCAGCCTCATAATCTATGCTTGGCTTCGATGAGGGATCACAGGATTAAAACACAAAAAAACAAAAAAAACAAAACAATTAGGATACTGAAATATTCGTCATGGTGGTATTACACGGTACAGTGACATTACTCGCCCCACCCCCACCCCATCACCAATCATCATAATCATCAGCATCATCATATTCATCACCATTATCATCATCTCCACCATCTCCATCACCACCAACACCTCTTACCACCACCACCGTCATCTCCACCACCACCGTCAGCTCATCTCCACCACCACCAACACCATCATCACTATCATCATTCTTTATTTTAATTATCATTTAATACGCATTCTCGCGACAAGAAAATGTCTAACAGAGTAACAGTTTAAGGGTCATTTTAAAGAATTGCACAAATTTTATGAACAGTTATTAGAAGGAGGAGTAACAGCTTAAAGAATAATTTAAGGATTAAAAAAGATTAAAGAATTAATTTTTTAAGGATTAAAAAAAGGGGTAACAGCTTAAGGAATCATTTAAGGAAGTACCAGCTGGGGGGAAGCGGTATGGTGGCTAAATGGGTTGTGGAGAAAGGAGGAGAAAGGGAAATGGAACGAAATGGCGAATGGAAAAAGAGGGGGGTGGGAAAAGGAGAAGCATGGGGATATATATATTTTTTTCTCTCTCTTTCTCTTTCTTTCTTTCTTACTTTCTCTTATTTCTCTTCTTCTCAACTGCTCGACTCTTCCCTCACTCATTCACTCATTCACTCACTCAAACACTCATT